CCCCCCCAAATAAAAAATAAACTAGCAAAAAGCCCGCCTTCCACATTCCTCGACCCTCCTCCCCCCCTCTCTGTTTCTTTTCCACTTTTAAGAACAACAATCGCATCAAACTCGGAAAATCAACAACGTCAGTGTCAATAAATGGCACTTACTATTCCCATGAAGATATTGGCTGCGGCCACCACAGATTCTACGGGTCCTGTCTCCATACAGAATCCAAGGAATGTGCCAAGTTTGACGACAAGGAACTCGATGACCCCAAGGTGGTTCAGAGAAAAGATTATACAGTTGAAGAAGATGAGAGCTCCAGAAGCCTGAGGACACAAAATAAATAGTCGTTGTTCATCCAGATTGTATGTCCTTTCCCAGTGCTCGTTAAAAAAATTGTAGTATTCAATTAGAGCAATTGGTTAAGTGGGCATTTTATATATTATTATCTCATTGTTAATTAAAAGTATTTTGCAAACAGAAACACCCCAAAGCTCTAAATAATCTTTTTGAAGAAAAAAACACCCCATGGATTGCATTTAATAACTATCACAGTGAGATATACGTACCCAAAATGCAAGCCCCATAATTGCAAAATCGTCGCCAATGACGAACGCAGAGCCTGCATCTGAGTAGCTGATGAAGGTTTGTATCAAGTCTCCCAGCCACTTGAATGCGTTGTATCCCGCATCCGTTCTGAGAGTGAGCGTAGCGAAGAGGACTTGGCCCACAAAACCCCAAAACACTGGGTGCCAGTTGACCTGTGTTGATGTCCAGGTATCCAAGTTATTCACACGTATCTATCTATCTATCTATCTATCTATCTATCTATCTATCTATCTATCTATCTATCTAGAGAGATGACTGAATTGTTACTAGTCCAGCCGGAAATACAACAACGACTGTCTTGTTAGGAGTGGAGTAGCCCAATATTCAGAAAGTATTTTATCTCGAATTATGAGTTTACTTTTAAAAATCAAAACAGATCAAAATTCTTTAAAACTGTTCACAATATTATTATTACCTCCATACCCTCAAGCTATAAAGAACTTTATACAATGGTCACCATGAAGCTATTGCCACCCCATTTTTTGACATAATCACAACACCTGAGAAAAGAAAAACAAACCAAACAGCAACACGTGTGCTCAATCCCCATACCTTGCTTGGTTTGACGGACACGATGAAACACATCAAGATGATGACAATAATGCCCCCAAGAGACTGGGCGTTTCTGGGATTGCTGGCCAGAATGTCGAAATACAGGTAGCAGCACAGGCCTATGGTGGCAACTAAGTACAGGACACTAAATAAAGAAAGAATGGGAAATGGGACGTGAGGGGGTAAACATACATGTTCAAACGTGCTATTCATGGTCGCAACAATATCATCATCATCATCATTATCATCATCATCATCATCATCATCATCATCATCGTCAATAACACTATTTTAAAAAAAATAAAAAAATAGAAAAATAAAAACGGCAATAAAAATAAACAATAATAACAACAACAAGAACAACGATGATGATTATAAATATAATAGTTATAGCAATGATAGCAATAATAATGGTATTAATAATGATGAAGATTATAAAATATTATTATTTATTTGTATTATTTTTATTAGTAGTAGTAGTTTTGGTGTTATTATTATTATTATTATTATTATTATTATTATTATTATTATTATTATTATTATTATTATCATTATTATTTTATCATAAATAATAATAATAATTATATTTTAAACTCGGAAAGCGAATGATATATTTTTAAAAAGTTATTTAACAGAGCAACCTGGGGGGATCTGTTGTCGTGTAGTTTACAGTAATAGGCTTTTGGGGTTTATTTTTGTGTTCTTATTATTTTGGGCTTTTTTGACAATTTGTACATCATTAAAGAGTCTACATAACAAGAGGGGCCACTTCTCTCTTTGAGCCAATTAAAAAAGTGTCCTCCAAAATTCGGTGGCGCCCTCTTCGCAAATGCGCACCCTTTGCAAACAGAGTTACCCTATTTGAGTTTTAAAAAATCAAAGTGAAACTAGCAAGTTTTTTAATAAATTTCGGAAGGACGCTTTTTTTCAATGGTTACGTTGACAAAAAACCTCTTCCGATGGAAAGGGTGATTGTTTTCTTCATTTAATCGAGAGGTCATTAAAACTTTTAAAACCTACAATTCCGCACTGAACGAACCCGAACTGCTGATGAACAGCAGTCGATCTGCGCACGCAAGGAGGTGCTATTCCTATTCTTCTTCTGGAAAAACGAAAGAGAGCTTCAAAACAGACTGCCATCTGAAGCAAAGAGCGGACTTCCGGCGGACACTTTTTTGGATGAGTGGACCATCTTGTTATGTACTATCCCTGATAACATCGAACCAGGTTCCATGATGACACGTTAATGAACGGATTAATTCACTTTCTTTGAATCTCGTTGCGCAGCTGCTGAACGTATGCTTGGCGTCCACACGCTAAAATTTGTGTTCAAATAATTTTGCAATATCTAATATTGATAACTTTGCATTAGCGAGTTTGCTGTCAATAGTTCTTGTAGTAAGTAAGTATCCCCGCCTATCACGCAGCGGAGCAGGCAGGGTTCGATTCGCCGGGAGGAAGGTTTTTATTTTTCATGGTACAAAGAGAGTCAACTGAAATAGAGAGAAAACAGAATATAGAGACTTTGGGGTTGATTGATAAAAAAGTGGATATAAAGACCAAGACACAGATAATTACTTTCTGAATTTAAAAAAATAAAGACAAACATATTTAAATACAGTCAGCAACCTCCGCAATTCTAATTAAATATTGATCCGTTCGTTGAAGGCGACTGTACTGGAAACGATAATAATGATAATAATGAAAATAATGATAACAATAACAACAATAATAATAATAATAATAATAGTTATAATAATGATAATAATAATAAATAATAATAATATTTCAAAAAATAATAATAAAAAGGATAATAATAATAAAAATAATAGTGATAATGATAATATTAAAAAATGAAAATAAAAATAAAAATAATAATTTGAGGAAGAAGAAGAAGAAGAAGAAGAAGAAGAAGAAGAAGAAGAAGAAGAAGAAGAAGAAGAAGAAGAG